GGGGGGGGGGGGGGGTGCAGGCAGACAGCGGCGCACGCCGATCGCCACGCCACTACGACACAAAGCACGTCGGTCAGGGCGAGACAAGCAAGCCCGGTCCGGGGGAGGCACTGGGGCCACGGAGGAGGGTATGTGTACCGGAGGTCAGGTGGGCGATGCGCGGGGCTCGGCTGTGGGCGCCTGGGCCCGGCGCCGCAAGGACTTCCCGGTGCAGGAGCCCGGTATGCTGGGCCAGCGCGGGTCCCGGCCCGGCCGAGGGGGTCACCGGCGAGGACGCCTCTTCCGGGACCGGGTAGAGGCTGCTCGCGAGGAGCCGCGACGTGAGGTCCGGCCCGAATGTTCGGGCCGAGGCGCAGCTCACCAGCACCAGCAGGGCCACAAGGGCACAATGCAGCACAGCTGACAATGGCCTGGCGGTCATGGTGTTGGACGGTGCGTGAGGGACGGTGCGACACTGGCGCACGCGTGCTGCTTGCGATTTCCTTCGTCGTGGGCGGTCGATCGCGGTCGGTGGCCAAGTTGGAGAGGGGGCTTGCGCGCGACCGTGCGGTGGCGGAGAAGTGGCGAGAGGAGGGGCTAAGAGGGGGGAGTCAAGCGACTGAGGAGGATAAGGTACGGTCGAAAGCCGCCACAGAGCGCGCCCGCTCTTCAGCCTGCATGACAGCGGGGTATGGCGAGTTGCGGTACTTCCAGGAGCCTGCCCACAGGGCGGCCGTCTCCCCTTCGTGCCGCCGGGCCGGAGCCTGGCGTCGATGAGCCTGGTGACCGGTGGCCGGTGGCCGGTGGCCGGTGACTGGAGACCGGTGACCGGGGGCGGGGGCATGGGTAGGGAGGCTAATGCGCGACCGGCATTGGCTCCCTAGACGCTAGAGTGACCAAGCATCTAGATAGCGCCCCACCCATGGCAGGAGCGTCAGGGGCGTTGGAGGTGGGGTGGGGGGGGGGGGGACTCCTGCCCCGCGTTCTCCTTTTCGTGCCTCACTTTCTCGCCCCTGGCCCCGGCCTCGATGAGCCGCTGCCGATCGTGGGGGAGGGAGGCCCGGCGGGGGGGAATTTTATATTATTTCATTTTTTAAATTCAATTCCGGTCAACCCCCGGGCCCAGGCGGGCGATTGTGGGTGGTGCCCCCTCCCTCTGTCTCCCCCCCCGCCACCCATGCCGCCGCCACCCCGTGGCCTGCCCCCTTGGCACTCGGAGCGCGTCGGCCGGGAGAATGTACCGCGGGGCTCTTCTCCGGGGGAGCCATTGCATCCTCCGCCCGGGAGCTCTGTGTGGGCTCGCGCACCATTGCGCTCCATCGCCCCGGGGGGTGCGGGGGCCCGGGGGGAGGATGATCGACACAACTCCTTGCCAGTCTCGCGGCACCCGGCATCATGCGTCGGTGATGTGGGAGGGTGTTTCACTTGCTCGCTCTGTCCCGGGCCTCCTCCTCCGCCTCGAGGAGACGCACAATTGCGGCGGGATAAGCCCCGCAGGGCTCACAGAGCGCAGCACCTTTAAGACCATGGAATTTCTATATACAATTGACTATTACACTTTTATATTCCTGAGCGGGGGAAAATCAAGGGGCATGCACAGGGCAGGATGGGGGGCGCGCGCGCGCGCGCGCGCGCAAGGAGAAGGGGGGAAGACATTCGAGGACCCGGGCGAGTATGCACGTGCGCCGAGAGGGCCGCAGTCCACTCGCGCATGCACAGCCGAAAGATATTTGGCGTCCTTTGGTGGCACACTGGGAATGCACGTGCCAGTCCGTGCTGCTACTTCCCACTCCGCGGGGGAGACGGCAGGCAGGAGGCGGTGGGGCGGGGGGGGGGGAGAACGAGCAAAAGAAAGAGGCCCACAGTGGGGGGCGGCGATTTCCGCCCTCCTAAATGACGCTCATGGTGTAGGCAACCACGCGGGAGATGAAGTCCTCCTTGATGAGGTCCTGGCTCAGCTCGTGGTAGGCGCCGCGGTAGGTGGCCAGAATGGCCTCGGCGTCCGGTGAGAAGGTGCCCGACCCGGGGATGGCGGATGGGCTGGCCCCGGAGAAGATGAGGTCCTCGTGCGGCTGCAGGTAGGCCGGCAGGCTGGCCGTGCCGGCCGGGTCCAGGTCCAGAGATGCCACGGGAGGGGCGCCGGGCTCGCGCGGGGTCCCTCGAGCCACGGCCGAAAGGGCGGAAACAAAGCGCAGGGACGCCGGCTGTGAGGTAATTGCATCCCCATCGCCATGGAGGATGAACAGCCGGGACTTGGCCACATCAAAGATGGGATCCTGGGCCGGCTCAGCAAGGCGGGCCTGGTGATCGGCATTCAGGAGCAGCCGGTCACCCTCCTCGAAGATGAAGAGCCCGGTGCGCAGGGACACATACGAGTGGACCATCGGGTCTTGCTCGTAGGACGCGGCAACGGCAGGGTCGCGCGAGAGGCCGGACGATTCTGCCGAGATGCAAGGGATCGAAGAGAGAGAGAGAGAGATAGGGGGTAGGGATGTGGTCGCATGGTGGGGAAACGAAAAAGGAGGGGTGTGGAGGAAGAGGGGGGGGGGCGAGAGAGGAGGGGGCCCGGAAGTTGGATGTGCAATATCACGACAAGGCCGAATGCGGCGGAGGCGGCATGGTCCACACACCCACCCATACCGGCATGACCCCCATGTGTGGTTGTGTAGCCCCACCCGAAGGGAGGAACGAAAGGAGCGCGCGCGCGCACGCAGGGCATCAGTTCGAGCGGGAGGTAATGCGTGAAGTCGTGTGTGTGTGTGTGTGGGGGGGGGGGGGGGGGGGGGGGGGGGGGGGGGGGGAGGGGGGGGGGGGGGGGGGGGGGGGGGGGGGTCTGCTGTGTGGGGGGGGGCGGGGGGGGGGCCCCGCAAGGGGAAGGCGCGGCGGGCGCACAAAGGGCGAGGGATATGGGGGGGGGCGGGGGGGGGGAGGGGGCGGGCGGCCAAGGAGCGAAACGCGCGATCGGACGCGATTCAGGGGTCGGTGACGCGTAATGGCGTCGTTGGGAAACCGCGCCGAAAAGAAATCAACATGTCGACGGGGGAGAGGGAAAGAGGGCCCCGTAGAACGGCCCAAGGGGAGGGCGGAGGCAGGAGCAAGGAAAAAGAGCAGGCGCAGCCGATGGTTAGACATTGCCAAAAGACCAGGCCTCGGGTGAGCCCCCAGACGGGGCGGCGGGGTATTTCCCCACAATTATTTCCCATGAGAGTGGACCCAAATTAACTGTCCCTATTTTGGAGGAGCCATGGTGAAAATCACCCAACTCTTCCGTCGGCCGCCCCTCCACGCCCCCCCCCCCGGCACCTCGCAAATGTTAATCCCCCTTGTGCTTCCTGGGGGGGGGGGGGGGTCTGCTTCTGGCCGCGTGCCTCTCCCTCTGCTACGGAGGTTGATCCCGGCCGGTCGCCACATCCAGGCCCCCCAGCCTTGGCAAGTGCATGGGCATGCTACGCACCGAGGCCATTGTCGATGGCGATAGAGTCGAGGCCGAAAAAGCGCAGCGCCTTGGCCGCATAAATGGTGGGGGCCATCGGGCGTGACGGCGAGTCCAGAGCCGGGGCACTGGCAATGGTGGCGCGCAGGTGCGCAGGCGGGGCATACGTGGAGAAAACCAGCGCAATTAAGCCGCCAAGGCTGTGGCCGAACTGAAGAGACCCGACCCCGGGGCATGGGGGGGGGGGGGGGGGGGGGGG